TTTGCTGTGCTGCCTTAAGCAAGTCACTTCCCTCTGATCCTCAATTCCCTCAGATGACAGAGTGTATGAAGTCCCTTCCAACTTTGTCTTATGTTCTAAATATTTGCCATTTCTGACTGTCTAGATCAGCGGTCCCCAACCCTTTTGGCACCAGGGACCAGTGCTCCTATGAGAATCTAATGCCTGATGATCTGAGGCAAAGCTGGGGCAGCGATGCTAGTCCTTGGGAGCTGCTGCAAGTACAGGTGAAGCTTCGCTCGCCCGCTGCTCATCTCCTGCTGTGCGGCCCGGTTCCTAACAGGCCACAGACCAGAACTGGTCTACAGCTTGGGGGTTGGGGACCCCTGCTCTAGATAACAAAGATGCTACATGAGATTCAAGGACAAGGAAAGGTGAAACCCAAAGAGAGGCTCTGAAGGAATGCAGAAAACTTAACGGCAAACTTCTTGCTAAGCTGCCTCACAGGTGAGCTAGAGTATTCCCAGCTCTCCTCTGTATGACATGTAATCCTGGACTCCTGTTTCAATACCCACTTTTCTGGTTTTGCAGGGGCCTGTCCTACACTCTCACCGTTGAGTGACAGAGCTCTGCCCTGCCCGCAGGGCACCTTGCCTCTCTCTTCAAGTTTTTCTTAGCAGAGTTTACACTTTCTCAGCTTCTTGACATACTTTTGTTAAACCTAAATTGGTTAATTCACTCTAAAGTATTAAATACCAATAGCCTTCTCCATGCCCCTTCTTCAGGGATATTTATGTATTAACTCCTATTAATTTCAGACAATCTCTAGGGAGAAATTTCGAGCACAAAGACATGCTTAATCACACTTCTTCAAGGTCTGCCACCTGAGTACGGTCACTGAATGTACCATTGAGGCAGAGTGGGTGGCCTTAGAATGTCTCCTCTTTCACCCCTCTCTGTCATTGCCCCCCACCCCCAGTTTCTTGCTAGAGAAACTTGCAAGTTCGCTCCTCCAAACCTCACCCACTTCAGGCTCCTGAACCCACCTGCACTCTCTGCCCTAGCCAGTGGTTAATTTGTGAAGTGTAATAAAGACACTCCAGGAATACTTGTTGAACAAATCTCTCACTGCATTCCTCCATGTGATGGCCTTCTTACAGTCCTCACTCAGATGATGGCCTTACTGTGAAAGTGGCGAGCCGTACCCCTGCCTGCAGTCCCCCACAGCGTTTCATGTTGCAAACCAAAACTTGCCCCTCGGCACCTGCCACCATCTCTGTTCTGATTCTTCCCCTCTTCTCTGACTACCCTCTCGTGCGTCAGATACATGTCCTTCTTAGTCCCGCCCCTAGAGACGTTCTCTTCTAAACTTTTAAATTCTGTTGCCCCAGTTTTCCGCCTCATTTAGTCCTCTTAAATTCCCCAACTTAGAAAAACTGTTCTGTGGCATAAAATACGATATCAATTTTTATTGATTAGATAGGTACTTGCCATTCACAATTAGTTATTATAACTATCGTTAAACTTTGTTATAAGTTTTACCCAATGATAACACTAAATCCTCTTCATGTTTTCTTGCTCATAATGTAGTTATCTAGTCACACATAAAAAAAATTATCTGAATTGTCTGCCTGGTCCAGGTCTCATTCTCCAATGTTTGAGACTTTGATCTCGTCTATGGCAATGTTATTGTGTGGCCCAAGATGAGATGACACTTGGGGTAAAAGACAGACATGAGTATATACAACACATTGAACTCAGATGACCAGAAAATAATCTGAATAATCCACAATGATATGCTCTCCTTTCAAAACCTGACAAGTTACCATAACGTAGATCTCTTTGGGCAAGCAGGTTTAGGGAATTGTGTTTAATCAACAAAATTGCAGCTAAAGGATACTTCTTCTTTTTTTTTTTTTGAAAGACTCTAGCTATTCAGCAGGTCCATTACTGATAAGGAAAATCCTTGCTTTTCAGAAAATCCTTTTTAATCTCCTTCCTAGAGTTCTTAGTTTCAGAAAGATCCTTTTCTGCCTCTTCTTTTGTCTTCCACTGAAATCCTATTGTTAAGATCACCTTTCTAACCAATAGAAGCTCTAGGATTTATCTTTAGAATCTGTAATGCCACAAAAAGCACAAAAAGGCTAAGATGGATTGGGTTGGGTTTTTTAATCCATTTAACTGTGAGGACACAATTGTCATTTCATTATTAACAGTACTTTTCATTATTGTTAATCATGTTTTAGTAATAATAAGATTATTTGTACTTTCTTTTAAAAACACAAAGGAATATAACAAGATAGTTATTTACCACATTCTCTTTTTCTATCTTCGGTCCGGATCCCTTCTCAAATGAACTGTTTTATTCTTTCAGAATGGGTCCTGCCTTTCCATGAAGGAGATAACATACTTCTAAAGGTGACTGAAAAAGAGGTGTCCCCTGGAGAGGGTTAGGAGGGGCCATAACTGAAGCTGGGATCCACCCCTCCCTTGGGAGCTCTGATATGCTAGGTTTTAGGCCTCTATTGGTGAAGCAATGTTTTTCCTAAATAATACATTTCTTTCTCTTCCATAGATACAAAGTTTTTCAGGCTCCTATTATCTTTCTCTGTGGAGATGCTGACTCCATCTTCACGGAAGAGCTATATCAGCTATCTTTCGTCTTGATCTGCTTACTTCTAAGACTAATAGTTTACCCATCACTGTTCATCCTGTGAGCAAATGAGTGAGCTCGCCACTGCGAAGACTGTTGGAATTGCTTAAATTTCACTTTTTAAACATGTTTAAGTCAATAATCACTTTAAAGAAATTTTGGAAAATGGAAAACAGTCATTCATGATCTCACCATGTTAACATAATCAATATCACCATTTCATTTGTAATTCTAGCCTTTTCTGCCATCCATATCATTTTTTACACAGTTGTAATTATAATATAAATTCAACTTTGGGTCCTGCTGTTTCCACATAACACATTATAAACATTTTTCCACGGTGCTGTAGTCTTCATAACCACTATTAATGTCAACATAAGAAAAATACAAACATACAGAGAATTGTTATAAGAGTTTATTTGAGCTAAACTGACAGCATATTCTGGGGAGCGAGATCTCAAATGCTCCAGAGAATGGAGGATAACAATTTTGCAGCTTCTTCTGTGAGTTTGAAATTAAGAAGGGAATGTCAGGAAGATTACATGGAGATGGGAGAAAGCAAGGCGGGTATTGGATTACGGGATAGTTAACAAGATTAAGTGCTTTGTTGAGGGTGGTTCCAGTTTATTTCCAATGTATGTTAACCTAGATGCACAGAAAACAAGGACAGGGCTTGCTTAAGGCAAAGATAAAGCTTTTACTAAAGAAGTTATAGGCCTGGGGTATGACTACCCACCATGACCTGCCCAGTTGGGAATTTATGATCAGATCGCCCTTTGAGGTTACTTTCCATAGAACCCCTTTTTCGATCCACATTAATAAGTAGTTTAAATTCTAAGCAAGGCATCTGAATTTCTGATTGGTTTCTCTGGTGTACACGGGTAGTTGGTAAATACTTCACAAGTCAACCTTCCAACCTGCTACTAAGAAAGTCTTTGACTTGGAAAAATAGTGCCCTTGCAGGTTCTCCACAGTAGCAGGTTAAAACTGTGGGACAAATTCCCTTAAAATTCTTCAGCTTGAAAGACTGATCTTGGTCAAAGGTTCCCGTTCCTGCAAGATGATGCTCAAGATGAACTCACACCTCTGCGTCCTTTCCTCTTGCTTCACTGTAAACTCTCAGCCAGCCACAGTTCAAAATGATGACTTCTTCCTTCCCACTAGAGTTCACAGTTTCCTGGGGCAAGAAAGGGGCTTCAGTCAATTGTCATAGCTTCTGCTTTTGGCCAGGACCACAGGGAAACCATTTTGGAAGAGAAGAGAAGAGAAGCCATCTTTGCTTCTTCAAAGCCTTGGGAGAAGGACACTTCTAAGGCTCGTTTGAAGGAAAACAAATAATCTTGACTCAAATCTTTCATGCTATAACCATATGAGCTCGTTGTGTTTTGTCATTATCTTGTTTTATTTGGGTCTCTT